TTCCTCAACAAATTGGTTCTTCCAAGGACTTTGACTGAAGCTACTTCTTTGGTCCTCAACTTGCGAACTTGGCGATCTAAAATTTGAACCGGAATCTCCTCATAAGATAAGCTATCCTTGATCTCAATATTTTTAGTTGGTATGATCAACGAAGGATCGCCCATGCACTTCTTCAACATGGAGATGTGAAACACCGGATGAACTGCTGCTAGCTCTTGTGGTAGCTCCAACTCATAAGCTACATTGCCCATCATTTTGGATATTCTATAAGGTCTGATATACCGGGGACTAAGTTTCCCCTTTTTACCAAACCTCATAACACCCTTCATGGGTGAAACCTTTAGATATACCCAATCATCTACTTCGAACTCTAATGGCCTTCTCCTAACATCTGTGTAGGATTTTTGACGACTCTACGCCGTTTTCAACCTCTCCTGAATCACCTTCACCTTCTCCATGGCTTGGTGAACTAAATATAGTCATATCAACCCTGCTTCACAAACTTCAAACCATCCAATAGGAGATCTGCATCTTCTCCCATAAAGAGCTTCATAAGGAGCCATTTGGATGCTAGAGTGGTAACTGTTGTTGTAAGCAAACTCAATGAGAGGTAGGTGATCATCCCAATTTCCTTTGAAATCAATCACACAAGCCCTCAACATATCTTCTAATGCCTGAATAGTGCGATCTGCTTGCCCATCAGTCTGAGGATGAAATGCAGTACTTAAGTTCACCTTTGAACCCAAGCCTTTCTGAAAAGATTTCCAGAACTGTGTAGTAAATTGTGCCCCTCTGTCCAAAATAATGGAGACTGGGACCCCATGAAGTCTTACCACCTCCTGAATATATAACCTGGCATAATCTTTTGTTGAATGGGTAGTCTTTACCGCTAAAAAGTGGGCTGATTTCGTCATTCTATCGACAATCACCCAAATAAAATCATGTTGCCTACGAGACCTTGGTAACCCTGTGATGAAATCCATATTTATCATCTCCCACTTCCATTCCAGAAGTTCTATATTTTGAGCCAAACCATCGGGCCTTTGGTGCTCTACTTTCACTCGTTGGCAATTTGGACACTTAGTAACAAACTCTGCAATGCCCTTCTTCAAACTACTCCACCAATAAAC